TCGGCACAAACTGCCGCTGCTGACCATCATTATTCAGTCGTAATCCTGGCATCCTCCTCCTGTTGTGCCCTTGGCTTATTGCCTTGAGGTGCCACCCAAATGCGCGTGGCTGCAAAAGTGTTTCATCATGGTCAGCCGCAGGTAGATGACAACAAGCTGCAGAACAATGAGCAGCTCGACAGAGGAGTACCGACGCAACACTCGCCATAGGGAATTGGGAAGGTACAGAGTTGGGTACGTAATCTTCCTTGGTCATCACTTTTTTTAAACTATCTTCACCACAGAATGATTCTTGATGGCACTACCTCTCATTTATGTTTCCTTTTCAGCATAATCATATCCCAGTGTGTTGCATATTCTTTTCTCCAATGAGGGTCTGTTGCATGACCAATTCATTTCGACCTTCTATCTGATTGCCAGTCTGGTGACGACTTTCTGATAATTTGTATGTCTTTTGGACTGGTTATTAGTTTCTGAAATTAAGGTACTGTGATTTGGGAGGAATAGATGCGTATGGGCTGTTGTTACATTGCAGGAGAGTGAATTGTGATCATTTTCGTATTGTGTATACTCTGTTCTATGTAATCAGATTTTCCTTTACCCTCTTAAAGATATTTCTCCACTTCTTTTTCATTGGTTTGTTTGCAGCCTGATTATATGTTGTATATGCTCTCCCATTAATGTCTCAGGCCTATTAATTCATATATTAATTGTTCCTGAATTTCTGTAGGCTCCCCTGATCACTATATTTATTGGGAAGCTTGGTGCAAGACAATCTTAGTTTGGGCTATGATGCAACAATAGGTATGTGCTTTTTAACCGTGTTTTGGGTGTTCATTTTTAAGTGCAGTACAAATGCCATGTTTCATATTTCTCCAATAGCGTAATAATCTTTAGAGGTTCGGTAGTTAACTCTTGCATATAGGTACTCTCATATACATGTTTCTATCCTTTTACCTATTTTTGTTTTCCATTTGTTTAAGCGGGCGCTTGCTAATTTTACAAGTTATCTATTGTATATTGCCATGATGCTTTTGATGCCAGAATCATGTTTTTTGCTGCTCATGTTGGCACTGTCCTCCCCATTCTCCAGGTAAAGTTTTAGGTCTAAGCTCCGATGTTCTATACAAATGGCAGATTTAAAAAATAATGAAGTATGATGTGCATGTTTCATGGATTATAACAACATCTTGGTTCTTTATTTTAGGTTCAAGCTGAGTGAACAGTATTTGTGATCCAAGTGACTGGTTTTAGCTTGTCAACTTGACATATGTATGCATGAATCCCAATTTTCACATCCTTTGATTCTTTGGGTCATTTTAGAACCTCCGATGTGTTCTTATTTGCAATACACAGCGTCGACAATGCTCTAGGATTAGCAGAAAAACACTTTTGCGTTGCACAAGGTATCTTATCTCTGAAGCTAAAAATAAAGAACCAAGATGTTGTTGCTGCCTTCATCCTCCTTAACATCCGTACAACAACAAGCACGACACCCTAACTTGCCTCTCTTTGTTTGTACTCCCTCCATCCAGAAATACTTGTCGGAGAAATGGATGTATCTAGAACTATTTTAGTTTTAGATACATCCATTTTTATCAATTCTAGGACAAGTATTTTCAGACGGATGAGCTCTCTCCAAAAAAGATAAAATTACAAAATCTGCTCAAACAGTGCACTTACATTTTGACTAATTTTCAGTGAATTTGTTTTTTTGTAGAGAGCTCCTTGAATGTTATTTGAGCACCAAATTTTGCAAGCGCCCATAACATTTGTTGATAATCGTTCACACAAAGTTTCAGAATTTTTTGAAATGTTTTGGTACGTTTTCTTGCGTGAGTGCACCGAGCCAGGGTGTAGAAAAACTACTCTCTGGAAAAGTAGTGGCTGCACCCACCTTCCGTGTACCCATGCAAGAAAATATAGCAAAAAAATACAAAAATTTCTGAAACTTTGTAGGAATGATCATCAACAAATGTTATGGGGGCCTGCAAAATTTTGGTGGTCAAATAACATTCGAGGAGCTCTCTCCAAAAAAGATAAATTACAAAATCTGCTCAAACAGTGCACTTACATTTTGACTAATTTTCAGTGAATTTGTTTTTTTTTGTAGAGAGCTCCTTGAATGTTATTTGAGCACCAAATTTTGCAAGCGCCCATAACATTTGTTGATAATCTTTCACAAAAGTTTCAGAATTTTTTGAAATGTTTTGGTACGTTTTCTTGCGTGGGTGCACCATAGGTGCACCAAGCCTGGGTGTAGAAAAACTACTCTCTATTTCATAGTGACATGCCAAACTGTAATTGTTGGAGATGCTACAGGCACTCCAGGTCCAACAACCACATCGTATCTGAAATTGAATATTAAAAGTGGTTAACTTATGGCCTTGCTATTTGGAATCTTGAACAACTTCATTTGTTGCCGACTATAGAAATATACAATCTACTGATTTAGCCACATTTGCAGATCTTATGTTATTACTGCTAACATTCTTTTGATAAATAGGTTTTGGTTGCCAAAGCTGGACTTGACTGAGCAGATACATTGACGATGTTCATCAAGGGGTTGTTGGATATCTTGACCGGTCTGCAGTATTTGGAAGAAAACTTCCTAGGTAACGTTCAGGAGATAAATGATTTTAATGTTACATAGCACACTCCTCTCTGCATGTTCCATGCCAAGTGGAGCAAACCCTGTTTTACTGCTTTTGTGTGACTGTAGTTTGGAACAAGATTCCTTCAGTGGGTTCTACATTTTAAGTTTAATATGAGAAATGTTGTCAAATTATCAATATGCACTTATTATTGTAACTCAATGTGAATCGAGTTCTTTGTATTTCTTTGTGCTTGTTACTGGGCATTATTTGTTAAGACCACTCTAAGTAGAGAGAATCAAAACAAAGGATGGTAAGCTGAAACTTACTGCATTTGTTTTTGGAAAACTACCATTGTTTCCAGAACACACATAAATCCGTAGTAGCAACATCCATTCTTATTCTCAGATTCTCAAATGCAATGGTGCATGAAAATAGATTCCTAGCCATAGGGAAAAACTATGTTGTGAAGCCCAATAAAACTTGAGAAAATGGGTTAATGATGTGGTCCAAGCAAGCTTAAATAAGAGGTAAAGACGCCCAGATCCTGGGATTACCAAAGTTAACGTTTACGTGGCATTCTCATGTGCCAATGCTCGTGCGACCATGGAGTTAATTGTAAGACATACTAGAGGTGAGTTCACTATAGCAGTGTCTCAGAGTTATGCAAATATTCCAAACTCTCTGGTTGCTGAAACACTTCTCTCCAGGATGTGGTACGTACGACCTGTGAAGGAGGAAGAATGGCCTGATGTTACCTTTCAATATGATTGTCAGGTACTGGTGGAGATGTGGAACTAATGAAAACAGAACATATCAGACATTATGGGCCTCCTGTGTGAAATTGAGGAGCCAAGCCAAGCCTTTTGTTCCTTACGGTGTCTTCTATTCTTAGAGGCTGATTTCTGTGTGCAAAACTGCCCCTGCAGGTTAGTGACCGGAGACTGTGGCATAATGCTGCTCCGGATCAACTTGCTTTTTGATGCAAACTGACAGTAATCATGAGGAAGAGAGCTGAGCTCCTTTGATTGTGAAAAAAGTCCCTTTGATCTTTTGGTGTTAAGAGGATTGTACTTCACAATATTGGTTCAATGCCGTTGATATTTTTATGTGAGATATCTGCTTTCCATTTTAGTGCTCATTCAGGTGTGTTTTGAGTATTTGCAACATGTGATCGAGTGTCAGTATTTTCATAATACACTATCAATGCCTATGCCATTTGCAACATTACATAAGCATTTGGTTAGCAACCTCATCTAAGAAGTATGTGTTGATCTACTATCCCTTGTTCTTCTCCTCAAATTTTAGTTATGAATTGCTTACACCATAATATTCAAGACCAAATGTAGGATTATGTCTCCATGTATTAAGCATAATGCAAGGCTTTTTTCAATCATAACTAGATTTCTTATTCTCTTTCAACATATAGAATATTCAATAGATTAAATATATTATTGTCTCTATGCAGAAGGAGGACCGCAATGATGTCCCACTTTTGAGAAAAACAACTTGAGTGACATCACAATATAGTGTATCCATTTAACTCATAGTCTCTCCGACCCATAATACAAGATTTTGCAAGCTATTTTTTTATTGCATATAGGTGTGAATCTTATTTGGTCAACGTTCGAGACGTGCGTTGCACGCATTGTTTTGGTAACCAAACGAAATTTCGCGATCTCATCCGGTTACCGCGTTTATCGCCCCCCCCCCCCCTCGAGAAACAGTCATACCGGGCAAAAAATCTCAAAAACTTTGAAAATTTTGAATTCAAACGCTCAGAGTGTAGTTAAATAAAAGCCATCTCTTCTTGTTAACATGAGTGGTCGTGGCCTAGTGGCAACGCCAGGCTTTCCTCAACAGCGCGTCGCGGGTTCGAATCTTGAACCACAGTAATTTGTTTGAGTGGCCAGGGGTCGAACTCGCGACCTTTTTAAGCAAGGTGCAGTTCGTCTTGAACAGCCACTACACCAGGAGCAGGTAGGTATTTACTTTTCAAGTTAAACCCCTATCTATATCTACTTCAAAAAATTTGAATTCAAAATTTGAATTCAAATTTCGTCCGATTTTTTCCGGTATTTCGCGGTTACCATGGTAACCGCAAATTCCGGTGCCCCTCGAGAAAAAATGTTCACTTGGGATCCAAAATCTTGGTTGCACGTGCAAGATTACTAGTAAGAAAAAGAAAAGAAGTATGAAGACAACGTTTATGTTTTCTGGTGGTTGCAAGGTTTTTATTTTCTGTTTTGATATGGCGGCTTCTGCATGCAGGCGCGACGTGATTTTCTCCGGCGGTTGCGCCCTCAATATCGGGTGGCGCAGCGAGGACAAGTACTAGATCTTTGACTGCGTCATCTTGGCAACAGGCAATACGAGCAAGTTAATCCCAGTTTCGGCCGGCCGGCGATGATGAACCGCCGGCTTGTGCATCTGATAGCCCGCGCCACCATCGGCGGCCGCCAAGCCTACACGCTGCACCCCATCGACCCATCGACCTTCTTCCATGACCGAACGAAACCAAGCGGCGCGGACGATGATGGAACGACGAGCATGGAGGAGTTCCAGCCGCCCCCACCGGCCATGACCTTCCTCGGACCGGACACGGAACCTCAAGACATGGATTTCATGCCCGTCGGCGAGAAGGGCGTCCTCGCCGTGGACTGCGAGGGTAGCGCCGCCCTCTACTCGGCCTCCTCGCAGACCCTGAGCACCATCCCCACGCTGCGAGCTCCAAAGGTTGAGCCCGCCTTTTTCCCCGTCGGTGACAGCCGCCTGTACGTCATGGACCGGAAGCCTCGGCGAGATCCCCGCCGCTGCTTCGTGGCCCTCATCCGTGGGCGGGAATCCGGCCTCCGCTGTCGGATGGAATGGCACTGGCGATCCCTCCCGCCGCCACCCTACCTGGCCCCCACCCGCTGGAACGACGACGACGACGACTACTCTGACTTGGACGATGACAGGCAAGCCATGGTAGACGACGACGGCCCCAAGTCCAGTATGGTGGTGGAGGGCGAGCTGGGCGACATAGCGGGGCACACGATGGTCGGCGATTCGAAGATCTGGATATCCACGGCCCGCGCCGGCACCTACACCTTCGACACGGGCAGCGGCGCCTGGGCGCCCCGGCCGTTGTACTGGATGCTGCCGTTCCGCGGCCGCGCCGAGTTCGTCCCGGAGCACGGCCTCTGGTTCGGCTTCTCGTCACTGAACAACAAGCTGTGCGCGTTCGACCTCGCCGCCGCTTCCGAGACGAGGCCGCCGGTGCTGAGGGGCCAGTAGGAGGACGTCGCGCAGGGCGTGGGGTGGAACCCGGTGGCGTCCTACCTCGTGCCGCTGGGCTCCAGCAGGTTCTTGGTCGCCAAGTTCTTCGAGACGAGAGAGTGGCAGCAGTTCAAAGATGGCGGCGGGGACTATGGAAAATGCGACAACTTTGCGGTGTTTGCCGGCGTGGAGCTGCTGCCAGACAAGGCCGGCAGAGGGCTGAGCATGATCAAGCACCGGTCCAAACGTTACTCCCACGTCTGCGCCGCGCCGGATTGGGTCATTTGATGATGCTAGAAGGTCATGTATGGCTGATCAATTTGTCTTGGAGGGATTTTCAAGGCACATAAAAGATATAATAGGCATTTCGTTTGTTTCCGGTACATGTTTGTGAGACTGTTTTGCAAAAGAAAAAACAACATCCAGATCCAGTTTGAAGAGATTTACCAGCTATAAATTTGTTACTTGTACACTCGTAGCGAGATTTATTTGTTGGATACAAATAAATTTTCATATTATCTTGCCTCCCCTATAGATTGATCTGTCATGAATATTACAATTGTGATTCTTCAGCTATTTTGATTGTGTTGATCCTTTTTTGAGTATTCAGTTGATCTTCAAGGTTCAAGTCTCCCCATCATTTGGTTTCATTACAGAATATATAGATTCACATGGGAAATCTCTCCCGAGTAATGCTAGACCGAACTGAAAGCAATAACGATTTGGAAGACAAAATTGTGAGATGCTGCATCACAGTAGTATACATGCTTAGTGTTTTTTTTTACAGAAAGCATACATGCTTAGTTAAGGTCAGCATGAAGTTCGGAATTGAATTTACAGTAGTAAAACCGGGACGTACCAAGATACAATCTCCAATTCACCTTTATTAATAGTAGAGATATTTATGTCCATACAAACAAACCTTTTCAAAACATATATTGCAACCTATTTCTTCAGCACCACAGTATCGTCTGGTTCATCCATGTTTATGATCGGTAGGAAACATCCACATCCATATTGCAGCAATCCATGCAATGCCCCGTTTCCTGTCTCTTTCGTATTTCTAAAAAAAACATGATTGCAAGAGAAGCAGAAAAATGTTATGAAATTTTCTTCACACATGCCCCAAAAAGTAGTAAATAAATAGGTGATCTTCGACAACTTAGTTGTCTCAATGTACAAACATCACGCCTTAATGTATAATCATGTATGAAAAAAAAATGTTTTATCTCAACGTGTGCAGTGGCTAACCGAAGAGGAACGGAATACGGCATTTTTCGTGCGAAGGCTAGGGAACAATCATGAGTGAATAAAATCAACTGCGGCTATTACTTCTTATCAGGAGCTTTTCAGTTCTAGCCTGACGGCAAAAGAAAAGGGAAAAACATTATGAATATTTTCCAAATATATCACGCCTCAACACACAATCATGTATGCAAAATATTGTCCACCTCAACATGCAACCATCCATGAAAAAGAATCAGTCTATTATATGTCACTTATATTCTGAAAATAACTTTAATTTGAAATAATCGAATACAATAAGTCATATGTATCCTCAATCCAAAAATATTCATGTCCATACAATCAAACCTCATTAAAATATATTGCAACCAATTCTTTCAGCAAGCAACACGTGAAGTATCATCTAGTTCATTAAAATATTAGCACTTTTCGTAAGCATGGCAAATAAGGTATGCATCTCATATCGATACCTAAGTATGTGAGTACATACAGTACATAGAACCGAAACATCTAAGTTAACAATACAACTACGGTCAAAGTCGGTAGCGGCTTACGCACCTCATTTAAAAATTATGTGCTCGACAAAAACAGTTGAAGTTCTCTTGAATGTCAACAATATACTGGACATATAGTGGGAGCAGCAACAAATCATAACATTAATGGAATTTTGATTTGAAATTTGCGACAACGGACATTAATGATGTGTGAGTGTGCTTAATTTTTCACATTTTTTGAAACAATTTAAAATGTGCTGCAAGGTCCGGTGCACCGGTGCATCGGATACAAGAAAATTTTAAATAATAAATGAAAAACGAATGCAATAAGTTGAAAAAAGGAAGGAAAAAAAGCGTCAAAGGTATGTGGTCCATGCTAGGCCAGTTCATTCTCACGCGCTTTAGGCGAGTGCTCGTGCACGCTATGCTAAGCAAGGTATAGGCGTGTCTGCTGGAGATGCTCTAACCAGATTGCGTGAGGCAAATCCTATTGGACGAGGAGCAACCCCCCCCCCCTGCCCCCCTGGAAATATCCGGTGCATCGATCCTCCATAGCACATTTTAAAATGTTTCAAAAAAAGTGAGAAAAAGAGCACATCCACACAACATCAATGTTTGTTGTCGCAAAATTTGAAACATTGCTCGAGATACAAAAATGGCAAAATTTAACACTGAATAGTATGTAATATAAGTTGGGCTTTAGATTTGGCCATTATCACATTCATGTCAAATTTGTCTTTTTTGTATCTCAAGCTATATTTCAAATTTCGATTTGAAATTTTGTGACAGCAAACATTGATGATGTGTGAATGTGCTTAATCTTTTTCACATTTTTTAAGCAATTTGAAATGTGCTGAAAGGTCCGGTGCACCGGTGCATCGTATACATTCTCGCAGCCACCCACCCACACACACACACTCCCTTTCTTATATATGTCTAATGGGCCGGCCCATGTACTGTTTTTAGCTCGTGTTTTTAGAGCTCTCTAGGAGGTTTCTCTGGGATTTTTGGAGCATTTTTTGTATAATGGTGCCACCTGCCTCTGTGATTGGTTGGTTTTAGATCCGGCTAAGACTCATCATATATTTTCATTCACTGGATAGCTTTTGTTCATTGCCGTATATTTAATTAGGTCACTGCAAATGTGTGATCAATCTGCTCATCGTGAGAAAATGTTGTGTATTGTTTGTGTTCGTGATTATGATCGTTTGAATGAAGAATTGATGGACAGCCAGCAATAGAAGTGTGCCTCAGAAATCTCAAGTTTAAGAACTACCCAGTATTGGTGTGTTTGTAAAACAACTACAATTACTCCGTTTATTTCTTCTGCATGCTACTTTGACGTTTATTTATATATTGGCCAACATTTTTTTTCTAAATCATTAACAATACAACTATGGTCGAAGTCGGTAGCGGCTTACGCACCTCCTTTAAAATTATTTGCTCAACAAATACAGTTGAAGTTCTCTAGAATGTCAACAATATAGCGGACATATAGTGGGAGCAGCACCAAATCAAAACAAAAACCGAATACAAGACATGAATAAAAAATAACAATGGTAAAGGCCAGTTTCATAGACAACAAGGCAAAAGAGATTCACCATCGAGATGGGAGAAAAAACACAACCAGCAGCACCCCCTGTTTATTTTCACTTTATGCATGATTTGCCTGCAATGATGGTTTTCTAAGGAAACAACATGGAAAATAGAAAGGGATGCCAAGTAACAGTCTCAAACTGACCTCAATGACTCTGTAGGATCGAAAGTATCTCTAGAAAGGGGATGATTAGACTACTTGACCAAATAAAAATCTAGCATTTTCCTAATTTTAAGTCTTGGCAGATTTTAGCAACTTAGCACAAATCAAGTAATCAACCTACACATGCAATTCTAAGAGTATAGCAGCGGAATGTAAAACAATTGCATATGAAGGTAAGGGGAGGAGTTTGGAGGGAGCAAACGCAATGTAGACACTGAGATTTTTTATACGTGGTTCTGATAGGTGGTGCTATCGTACATCCACGTTGATGGAGACTTCAACCCACGAAGGGTACGGTTGCGTGAGTCCACGGAGGGCTCCACCCACGAAGAGTCCATGAAGAAGCAACCTTGTCTATCCCACCATGGCCATCGCCCACGAAGAACTTGTCTCACTAGGGTAGATCTTCACGAAGTAGGCAATCTCCTTGCCCGTACAAATTCCTTGGTTCAACTCCACAATCTTGACGGAGGCTCCCAAGTGACACCTAGTCAATCTAGGAGGCACCACTCTCCAAAAGGTAATAGATGGTGTGTTGATGATGAACTCCTTGCTCTTGTGCTTCAAATGATAGTCTCCCCAACACTCAACTCTCTCTCATAGGATTGGATTTGGTAGAAAGATGATTTGAGTGGAAAGCAACTTGGGGAAGGCTAGAGATCAAGATTTATGTGGTTGGAATGGAATATCTTGGTCTCAACACAAGTGTCGGTGGTTCTCTCTCAGAAAATGTATGTTGGAAGTTTAGGCATGTTCTGATGGCCCTCTCCACGAATGAACAGTGGGTGGAGGGGTATATATAGCCTCCACACAAAATCTAACCGTTACACACAAATCACCAAACTCGGTGGGACCGAATCAAAAAACTCGGTCAGACCGATTTAGTTCAAAATGTGAACGTTAGGATTTTTGGTGGGACCGACATGTCAACTCGGTGGGACCGATATCATTAGGGTTAGGGCATAATGTAATCTTGGTTGGACCAATTACTCAAACTCGGTTGGACCAACTTTGGTAATAAGCTAACCAGAGAGTTGGTCAGGCAAACTCGGTGGGACCGATTCGCTCATCTCGGTTAGACCGAAATGTTACGAAAGAGAAACAAAGAGTTTGCATTGCAATCTCGATGGGACCGATCGCTCATCTTGGTTGGACCGAAACATTACGAAGGGAAATAGAGAGGTTGCAATCCCATCTCGGTGAGACCGAGATCCCTATCGGTGAGACCAAAGTGACTAGGGTTTGTGGCAGTGGCTATGTCAAGTGAACTCGGTGGCGTTGGATAGAAAGTTTCGGCGGGGCCGAGTTTGACTTTTGGTTTGGGATAAATGTGGATATGAGAAAGTAGTTGAGGGTTTTTGGAGCATATCACTAAGCATTTTGAGCAAGTAATTCATTAAGCAACACCTCACCCCCTCTTGATAGTATTGGCTTTTCCTATGGACTCAATGTGATCTTGGATCACTAAAAGTAAAATGTAGAGTCTTGTGCTTTGAGCTTGAGCCAATCTTTTGTCCTTA